GAACAACTTTGGACCACTCGGCATCAGTCCCAGGCGCGACGCTTCTGACACTGTCTCTTGTTCAAGAGTGGCTGGAAACAAGGAGTGCGACAGCTGAAACCCATGTCTTGCATACGTCTGTGTGTGGTGGTTCTTGAAGCACTGACTCCAGCTGCAGTCCACTCTTTGTGAATCTCCCCCACATTTTGGAATGGGTTTTGTTTCACAATCCTCTCCAGGGTGTGGTTATCCCTATTGCTGGTACACTTTTTTTCTACCACATCATTTCCTTCCCTTCCCCTCTCTATTAATGTGCTTGGACACAGAGCTCTGTGAACAGCCAGCCTCTTTTGCAATGGCCTTTTGTGTCTTTGTCTCCGTGTGCAAGGTGTCAATGGTTGTCTTTTGGTCAACTGTCAAGTCAGCAGTCTTCCCCATGATTTTGTAGCCTCCAGAACTAGACAGAGAGACCATTTAAAGGCCTTTGAATGTGTTTTGAGTTAATTAGCTGATTAGAGTTTGGCACCAGGTGTCTTCAATATTGAACCTTTTCACAATATTCTAATTTTCTGAGATACTGAATTTGGGGTTTTCATTAGTTGTCAGTTATCAATATGTGTGTAATGAATGAATATAATATACAAGTTTCACTTTTTGAATGGAATTACTGAAATAAATCAGCTTATTCATGATATTCTAATTTTATGACCAGCACCTTTATGGTGGCAAGGCCACCATTGGCCACCCCTTGGCTCTGCCACTGCAACTGCTCGTGGATTAAATTGCTCCCTCCGTTCCTCAGGATCTGTCACTCTGTGCTGCCTTGGACAAGCAAAATAAATGAATAAATAAATAAAAATATTACCCATGTTTGTCACAGTATAACTCCTGTCCACTTGAATATCTTGCTCCAAAAACATTAAGGTTTACTTTATTCCCTGTTCAGTTCCAGCCCAGAAAAGCACTCATCTCAAAAACATTCACTATTGAAATCCATCAGCATACTGCTGGTTCCCAGCAGAAAGTCCCACTCACTGTCCAACAGGACCCATGAAGGTTTTGATAGGTAGGAAAAAGCTTTCCAACACAACCAAGAGTGGCATTCTTCTCGTTATATCTGCAGTTTCCTCTGTTGATGACTTTCTAATAACTCTTAGATTATTGTTTGCTTGCTTGCAGTTTGCCTGAAATGAGCTTCTGTAGATTTCAAATGCTGTTCTCCACAAAGCCTTTTGATCAGAAACAGCAACTACACTAGTAAAAACCTATGAAGAACAGCGAACAAGATTTTAATCATTATGGCTTACTCAAAAGAGATAAAGAGCATATGATTTACATGGAGCCGGTTTAAAATAATTACACATACAAACAAAATGACGTGTAAGATTTGCAACAACAAATAATTTAAACAGATGAGGCTAAATTTGCACAGTCTGAATGACAAACTGGAACTGTTCTAATCTGAGCCAGGTCATATGCTGTACTAAATCAGACAAGAATATGATTTTCATGATCATTCACAGTCTGAATTATCTGGTCGCACTTCATTCAACTTGTACATCAGCCATGTGGGGTTTTGCAGCTCGATCCAAATATTGATATTACAGATGATTTTTTTTATTTGCTTTGTTCTGGCTGAGAATCTACAGCAACATGTGATACTAACGTTAGTGTCACATGGTAATTGTGTGAACCCTTATGAAGCATTCACACTATTGTGAGCCTTTCTTTCGTACGTTTTTCGGCACAATTCTTGTCCTGCAATTTTTAAGCTATTTCAACAAATCATAAATCAAAATGTTCAGCTATGACTGCTATGGCTTTTTGTATTGGTGCAACTTTAGCTTTTTGAAATATTTAGCCTTTTCTGTCATTTTTTTTAATCTCATAGAAAATGAATTGAGCTCATTTTACATCCTTCATATCTTTAGATCTGTTTACAACCTCTTTTTGCTCCTTTCACATTTTGTTCAGGTTCAGCTTCTTTGCTTCCTTGTGCAAGTTTAAACTTTTTTCAGCTACTTTCAGCTGCATTTTTCAGCTGTTTTGTGATCCTTTCAGATTCTTTCTGCTAACTATATTTTTGTGCTTCTTCTAACTCCTTTCAGCTAATTTCAGCTTGTTATGCTCCTTTCTGCTTATTGTTGAAAGTTTCAGCTTTTTCTATTTCAGCCACTATTTAACTGTTTTATGCTAATTTTAGCTTTTTCAGCTAATTCCACATTGTTTGCACTCATTTCAATGTTTTTCAGCCTAATTCAGCAAAAATGTGTTCTCTCCACTTCCTTCTGGTAATTTAAGCTTCTTTCTGCTGTTTAAGCTACTTTTCAGGAGTTTGGGGGTTTTTGTGCTAATTTCAGCCTTTTTTGTTCAGATATTTCTACTTTTTGTGTGCATTTCTGCTTCTTTCAGCCTAAGTGGACAAACATGTTCCTTCTGCTTTCTTCTGCTAATTTTAAGCTGGTTCTACCTTTTTTTTTTTTTTTTTTAGCAATTTAACTCATTTCATCTGTTTTCAGATAAATTTAAGTTTTTCATGGTAATTTCTGCTACTTTCAGCCTAATTAACTTCTTTATGCTAATTTCAGCTTGTTATGCTCCTTTCAATATATTTCTGCTAGTTTCAGCTTTTTCTGCTGGTTCACCTACTATTTAGCCATTTGATACTAATTTTAGTTTTTTTCAGCCAAGTCCACATTTTTGAGTTCATTTTAGTTCTTTCTGCTTCTTTCTGCCTTTTCAGCTTTTTTTTTTTTTTTTGCTAATTTCAGCTTGCTTTTAGTTAATTTCCAATTTTTTGTGCTCATTTAAACCTAATTCAGCAAATATGTATTCTTTCTGCTTTCACTAATTTCATCTGTTTGTCAACAAGTTCTTCTGCAATAAGCATCAATAACAACTTAATCAATAATAATAACCTGCAATAAGCAAGTTCACATAGTTCTTACCTTGCTGTTCAAATATTCAATTTTCTAATATATCTAGCTCTATTCGTTACATTGTGCTTTAAAGAAAAGACGTGGCAACACTGAGTATAGACTTAAAGCCTCATGTTACTAAATCTAACATGGCAGCTTGTGTAAACTGGGAACCTGTGCTTTAATTCCCAACAAAGAGAGAAGGCACTTGGTCTGTGAATATACATTTGATGGTCCACATCTTAGTTACAATCTCTTTACTGAAGCGGAGAAAACAAATTCACAGCTGATGACGTCACACCACCAAAGAATATGAACTAATATGTCATAAAGCTGCTGTAGACCCTGCTCGGACCCATCCTCTGTTCTGTGAACCACCCAGGAACGGCTGCGCTCCATTTAGTCGTCACAGGTCCTGATAGTGTGAATGCTGGCTAACTAGGCTTCAAGAAGCCGCCACACATGCCAGAACCTGGGCTTTTCCTGCCACGATGAGGAAAAATCATCCCCAATGGACCGTTAATGAGACGCGTTAGAGGTGAGAACAAGTTTCTGACAACACAAGGCGAACATCTGATGGGAAACTGCAAACTGTTTTCCTTCGTGAACAACAGCTGAAATGAGCTGTTCTGTTTTAGTGAACGATCCTTTTAGCTGCTCGACAGAAAAAAGACAAACTTTCTAAAAATAAAACCACATCACGCACAGTTCACTCCAGCACGACTCTCTCCTTCGTGTAGGACTTCCAAAACAATTCCTGTTTTTTTAAAGGTGTGCCCGAAGTGGGAATGTTCTGCAGCTGTTCTGACCAGAGTAACTTCATGTTGCTGTCTAATGAACTAGAAAACTTTATTCTACAGATCCAGCAAGCTTTGTTTCTACCAGCAGGAGTGATTTCATCTTTAACAGTCTACTGGAACCCATTTGTCCATCATGAACCAATAAAACCATTGAGCAAACGTTAGCAGACATCTAACAGAAGATGGAAAATAAAAGAACATGAAGTTCTAAAATCATCTACTTTGTCTCAGTCTGTTCAAACTTTTCCTCTTGTAGAAATTTATGAGTCTAAACATCTGGATGTGTAACAGTGCAGTCATCAAACACTCATTTAAAGGGACATTCCAGCCATTTTAAGTGAGGAAATGAATTTATCTTGTTAATAGAGAATAGAGATTTAATATTTGAAGACTAGTTCGAACAGGCAAATTAGAAAAAATCATTTGAACATGCTTTCTTTTTTTTTTTTGTTTCTTTTACACCATCACCCAGACAGAATGAACAGGATGTGCTACAGCCTTGTTTGCAAATAACCAGAGAATTCAAGCTAAATATTTGTATATAGTGATGGTCTGTGCTGGGTTCAGACCATCAGGTAGGTCATCACTTCCTGTTGGAAGCGAACGCCAAACTGAGGTTGCTCAAAGAGCTATGTACAGCAGGTAAGATATTAACTCTTCATAACGTTTCCACATGGTTTAAGCATCCCTGGGAGACTTGATGGTGTTGATGTGACCGGGGAGGTTCTCAGACTTCTACATTTGAACAAAAAGCTTTCGCTGGAACTTTTTCACTTTCCTGGTGGAGAAAGGCTTTCCAGTGTCTCTCTGCACACCGAGGGTCTCACTGAAGCTCCCTTCAAACCCTGACTGAACTCAGCCTCTCAGGATGAACATTCAGTGCCAGGAAACCTAAACAAGCAGGTTGTGAGGAGGTTTGTTAACAGAGTTGTGTACATAGAGCAGTAAATATTTGGCCCTCCCCCCTGAGGCACAGCTGACATCCATGTCACCCAGCAGACAGCCAAGAGAGAAAAAAACTTCTCTACACCCCCAGAACACTGGCTCCACAAACACTGAGAAAAGTTCTGGAGATGAGCAGAGAAACAGAACCAGTGAAACATGGAGGTCCAATAAAAGCGACAGGGACCCTGAAAGCAGCTCCCTGCTGACTGACACGTTTTACAGGCCATTAAAGGGGTCGTGAAGGGTTTGCAGGAGTCCAAGAGTCGGGGTGAACTTTTCTCTGCAACCAGAAACCATCATGCGCGTGCACGTTTCTTACTTTAAGGACTCAAGTATGCAAAAGCTCTCTGTGTTTCACCTGGCAGGAGGAGGCCACGGTTTGCGTGAGGGAGTCGATCCTCTCGCTGTACTGCGTGAACTTCTTCTGGTACTTGAGCGCGGTCATCTGCAGCTCGCCGTGCACGGAGGAGAGCTGCGCGAGGAGCGCCTTCTCCCTCCTGTTGGCTTGGATCGCGTGCTTCTTGAACTCCCGGTCCAGGATGAGCAGCTTGCACTGCAGCGCGCCGTTGTGCGCCTTCAGGGCGCGCACGCAGCAGTGGCTCTTCAGCTTCTGCTCGCGGTGCGTGAGCGGCAGCCCGCAGCCGCCCGCGCAGACCCCCGCCGCCCTGAAGTCGCACGCGTCCCGCATGTGAGCGTCCACGTCCCGCAGGCTGAGCACCGCGTCGCAGCCTTTGTTGCGGCACTTGGCCGGGGAGAAGGCGCACACCTCGGCGTGCGCGGCCAGGTGCTGCAGCTTCACCACCGCGTCGCAGCCCCGCGCGTGGTTGTCACATTTGATGTCCAGCTTCAGGATGAGGTTCTTGAGCGGCAGGACGTGGTTCAGCTCCTTGGCGGAGATGCGCTGGCATTTGACAGGACAGCTGCTCTGCTGGACGACCCAGGGCAGCACGCAGCCCGAGCAGAAGACGTGCCCGCACGGAGTCGTCAGCGGCTCCTCCAGGACTTTGTTGCACAAGTTGCATTTAAAGTCCGGGTCCACGGTCCCCTTGAAGCGGTCCAGCTCAAATCCCATGGTGCTCTGAAAGTCAAACTTGTGGGCTCCAGTCCACCCCCGGAGATGTGTGTGGGAGCAGAGGGGCGTTCAGCTGGTCATTGGTGGAGTGCGCGCTCCCACAGACCGACTGCAGCCTCCTCTCCGGCCCCGACTCAGCTAATTGAGACAGACTTTTGATGCCTTCGGGTGCGCCTCGAAATCTTCAGCACTAAAGTTTTGAAACTAATGTGAACCTGAAAAAAGTTATCTCGTTTGGCAGAAACACACTTGTTGCTTCACCGGAAGTCCAAAAGAGTGAAATAAAGATGAAACTTGGTTCTTTAAATTTAACTTAACATATATTCAACTTTTCAGAGCAGATAAAGTTGAAGGTTACAGCAGATGTTTCTGTTTGAAAACTCCAATACGACTTTGTGTAGAGTTGTGACAAGTTATGCACATCTATTTAGGCTTTTTAGGTTTAGATACTTTTATTTATTTTATTATTACTATTATTGTTATTATTCAGATTTAACCGTAGCGCACCTAAAACCTAACCTCAATGGTTTGTTACCAAACGTCCGATAATCCATGAAGGCAACTCAGCTAAAGTGTAGACAAACTTTATTTACCGTAACTCTTCTGCAAAACGCGCACATTACACTTTGCAGTGACGGCCTGTCCATGGGGCAGGTAAAGCACAGCCCCACCTAAAAAAATAATTCGCCCCACAAAGTAGTTCCTCCAAAGAAACAATGCACTTTATTGATTTACTGAGCTTGCTGTGTATTGTCTTGTTTGTCAACTATTTTGATACTTCTAAACATAATTTCAAATGATTTTAAGATACTTATTCTCAGTTTTATTTCTTATTTACTGTTATGGGCACTACTGACCCACATTCGTCAAGCGGATGGGAACATGTCCAGAGATTGAAACAGCCAACTCCAGTTGAATTTCATACGAGGCGTCAAATGTTCTGTGGACACATTTGGCAGTCTTAGCACAATAATATGACACTTTACCTGATGAGAGCTCAAACACAGGGATAGCTGCAGCCCAGCCTGTTGTGTTGTGGAGATATTCTGTTAGATCCATTTGGAGCAGACAGAGGGGACCAGAACAGAAAACTGAGGAGGATGGACAAAAAGCAGGACATTTTCACCAACATGGGACGATCTTATATAAGCAGATCGGTTGTTGGTGTTGGTTTGTGTTTATGTTACTTTGTAAGGCCCATTTTTCCAACTTACTACACTGGAAGGACCAACTGCTCCTTATAGGGCCCAAAGCCCAGGCCCTATAAGCTGCTAGTGGGTTAGAAGTTGGGTTTAGGGTAAGAGTCAGGGCTCCACTTGGAATTGATGAAAATGAATGGAAGTTAATGCAAAATCCCTGTAAAGATAGAAAGACTAACTGTGTGTGTGTGTGTGTGTGTGTTTATGTTACTTTGTGAGGACTATTTTTGAACATATCATTTTGAACATAACACGTCAAAATCGTCTTATAATCTAGCTGTTTTTTTCTTTTGTTTTTTTCTTTTGCTACTATTCCTCTTGATTGTCCTTTTGGTTGCTATTTTGTTTTGATTTGAAAAAAAAAAAAAAAGAGAAACAAATTTGTATGCCTATTCTCTGACTGTCTATTGTTGTCGTTGTTATCCACTGTTGTCATCATTCTTTGTTAAATAAATCAGGTCTCTCTTGTAAATGTGTCCCTGAGGCTCAATGGTATTAACCTGTCTAAATAAAGGTTGAATGAATTTACTACATTGTGAAGACCAACTGCTCTTAGTGAGGACCAAAACCTGGTCCCCATAAAATTCAAGTGTCGTTGGTGGATTAGGGATTAGGTTTAGGACTAAAGTGTGAATTGAGGATGGGTTAGGTTTAGGATTAGGGTCAGGGCAGTGGTGGAGAAAGTACTCAAACACTGTACTTGAGTAAAAGTACAAATAAACAGACAAAAATGTACTCTAGTAAAAGTATAAGTACCACATTAACATTTTTACTTAAGTAAAAGTAAATAAGTGCTTTTAAAAATATTTAAAGTATTAAAAGTAAAAGTACTTGCTGAATGTATTACCTAATGCAATGGTCTACAATATCATTAAGTGTACCTACCGTATGTATATTTTCTGTAATACATTAATAGTGTTGTTCCATTTTAATGAACAATGTTGCAGATAATACATGTTTTTATTGTGTTTACTCTGTGACACAGTTCACACTTGGACTTGTGATTCTGTGAATCAGAATTTCAGGGATGACATGCAGAGTCAAATGCCATTAATCAAAATAAGAAAGGAATGATTATACCTTTGAAAGTTTTTATTTAACACAAAGGAAACCCAATGTGTCATTTTAACTGCAGTAAACACATTTAAGTAAAAGCTGTCTGCCTGAACAAAAGGAGCATTAGACACAACTAACAAAGGAACAGGCTCTGATCATTTCAAGTGATATTTCAACTCCAGTTTGTCATCAACTCTAGTTAAAATACTGTCTGTTCAACCTTGTAATGGGTCAATAGTGAATGATATTTTAACTTCCTGACACCATTTTTAAAACTTGGACCTGAGTGTTGAGACATTTGGAGACATCTCTTGTCTCCTGTCCTAACATTCCATGGACTGAAACGTTTTAATATTGCAGCAAGAATTTCTTGTTCAAGTTCAGAAGAAGTTGGTTTTCAAAGTTTTTTTTAAATCTAGTCTGGTTATTTTTGGAGAGAGAATCTGTCCTGCTGTACTGAATAGTCTTTCAATAGACTTTCAAAAGTCTTTCAATAAGGCCATGGGTGGCACGTACTGTATCTTCTGGCTGACTTTCCTTGGTTGAATCCATTTTGGGTGTGTTAGCGGCTGCGGGTGCGCACTGCTCAGTGACACATATACTAGAATATAGTTCTTCTTGAAAGTGGGTCTAACGTTACCTGCCCACTTTGCAGTGATTCAATGGACCAACTCCCCTCTCGCCATTAGTTACTTTCAAAGTAACGAACAAATAAAAAAGTTGCAACGTGAATGTAACTTGTAACACAACGCATTATAGAAATGTAGTGTAGTAGAAAGTACTGATACTTAATGTAAAATGTAGTGGAGTAAAAGTAAAAAGTACCCATGTTTAACTCTATTTAAGTAAAGTACAGATACATGAAAAGTGTACTTAAGTACAGTAACAAAGTACTTGTACTTGGTTACATCCCACCACTGGGTCAGGGTTAGGCTATAGAAATGAATTAAAAAAATGAATGGAAGTCAATGCAAAGTCCACGTAAAGATAGAAAGACAAATGTGTGTGTGTGTGTGTGGTGGGGGTGGGGGGGGACAGGTTAGTGGGTCAGGCACTGGTCTTGTAATCAGGACTGTGGGTTAGATCCCTGTTTGGAACATTTATTTGAGCGAGTGATCTTGTCTAACATAATTACAAGCTTACAAGCTTTTTCTGAACCGCTGTGGCCTCGGTCGTCCTCAGGCTGTTTCTGTGAGTAACAGGTTGGCCTTCTGGCCTAAAACATTTGATTGTTGTACATGATGATTAATTGTTTTGCACGTGTTAAGCCTACTTCTGAAATTCCAACAGGATGTTGGCTTGAAACACAGCAGTTGCTACCTATATGGGACAGATCTAGTTGGTAGGCCTCAGACTGATGAAGTCCTCTGGATAGGGAATGAAATGTTTCTCACTTAAAGTAACTTGTCCAGATGACACGATTTAACCATTTTTATTATTATCTACCTGGATGACTGAGCTTACAACTCTTTTTCTGACAAAATTTCTACACTTTTATGTTTTTTTCATAAAAGTCAAAATCTTCTACGCATCCAAACTATTTTGAGCACGAGTGTTCAGCAGTCTATCACTGCTCTCATGTGTCAGACGTGTTGTGTTGTTCTCGTTTCAGGTGGGGGTGGATGTGGGAGGCGTCCATTTCTATGATTTCTTACACAAGACACACTTACTGAGGCAAAACCTCGGCACGGGACGAAGACAAAAGTCAACAAGTTGCACAAAAACAAATAACAAAACAACAAGAACAAATAACATATTTAAACAACATAAATCCTATTTTTTTATCACAGAAAATGACACAGAGTTTGCAAAATCAGTAATTCAGGAAATGAATGTCTGCCCACTAATATTTTTGCTCAGGAGCCACCACTGAACATTGGAATCACATTCTTGTTTTTTTTGTATTGCTAGAATATCAAAGCTCATAAAGCAAATTCATAATATAAAGGTTTATTTACATATTTCAAGCTTTTCGGATCTTTTCACCTCAAGTTAATGTCATGAACCTGAAAAAGGGTTCAAATAAATCTTCTCATGCCTCTACCTTTATTAACTCACCTGGATAACTTACACTTTTTTATATAAATGATGATCTAGCAGGACAACAATTGGACACAATTTAAAGTTTATAATATGGAGCAGTTTGCAGCTATCATTTCTGAAATGGTTGGGCTCTCACAAAGTAAAGCTACATGTTTTAACCCATATCAACTAATAGAAAAATAAGAATTAAAATGAAGTTGCAATAAATGTAGAAACTGATGATGAAAAAATGATTGACTGCACCTTTAAATTTGTCAGTTCAAGATGGCCACCACAACTAATTGACCAAAATGAACACAATAATGGTTATAATGTGGTCAGTTTACAAAATGTTAAGATAGAGTTTAATGTGGTAACTGAGCATTACCCTCACCATGTACGCTGAAGCATTACATATTGTACAGTATTTTTGCTTAAAACTTTGCCCCATAACTAGTAAAGTTATAACTACCTGCCTTTTGTAGAAATAAATATCCTTTAAGCCACTCAGTGGGTTTCAGTGAAACACTCAGAAAATAATTGTGTACAACTGTACACATATATAACTCAATGTTTTAGGAAATACAGACATTTGATATACAGGCACTGATCATAAAATTAGAATATCATGAAAAAGTTGATTTATTTCAGTAATTCCATTCAAAAAGTGCAACTTGTATATTATATTCATTCATTACACATACACTGATATATTTCTAATGTTTATTTCTTTTAATGTTGATGATTATAACTGATAACTAATGAAAACACCAAATTCAAATTCTGTATCTCAGAAAATTAGAATACTACAGT